TATTAACCCCTCAGCTCCAAATCTGGGACACAGCAGGGCAGGAGCGTTTCCGCACCATCACACAGAGTTACTACCGCAGCACCAATGGCGCCATCATCGCCTATGACATCACCAAGAAGTCATCCTTCCTCTCTGTGCCTAAGTGGATGGAGGATGTGCAGAAGTACGGAAGCTCCAACATCGTTTCCCTCTTAATCGGTAAGTGCCACTTGGAGCGGCAGAGTCTGTGACCAAAAAGGTAGTGGAGAGGCAGTGACTGTCTCAGTGGTGTCGTTTGCAGCGGGTTGTTCTTCAGATGTCTAACCTTCTTTATGTTCGCTCATGAAGCCGTTTGGAATATCTGTCATTTAGAACAGGGATTCCAAACCAGGTTACTCATTTGGCCCGAATCTTTTATTGTTTTGTTTGTTGTTTATACTTTTGATAATACAAAACCATTACAAGTTACAGTCATATACAGACGCTCCTTGGGTTACAATGGCCTGCGTTACGATATTTTGACTATATGATGGGTAAATGTTTTCCACTTTCAGTACATTATTCAATAAATTGAATGACATATTCAACATTTTTTTTTATAAAATAGGCGATGGGTTTATTAGAACGTAACCCCATTGTAACCTGGGGGAAGGCTTTACTTGCCTGAAAGTTTGATTTTGGGACAAAAAAAATGTTTGTGTAGATAGCACTTGATATGTAGCTACTAATCGTAGCACCAAAGCTAGGGAAGTGGGTTGGAATAAAGCTGGAGACACAGTCTCCCTAAGATCTGAGTGGTGCATCACGGCCAAAGCCTGCGTACAAGAGAGCCAGCGCTTACATCCCAGAGATTCACCCTGAAGTTGGTAACACTGCACGCCAATCTCCTCAGGTAATAAGTCGGATTTGTCTGAGATGCGCGAAGTTCCCTTCGAGGACGCTTACACGATGGCCCATCAACTGGAGTTTGCCGATGCCATAGAGACGTCGGCAAAAGACTCCAGCAATGTGGAAGAAGCCTTCAATAAAATGGCAGCTGAGCTTATTCTGCGTCACGGAGGGCCGATATTCAACGAGAATGTGACAGACAGCTTCAAGCTGAACAGTAAGGATGTAGTGTCAGAGGGCTGGGGCTGTGGATGCTAATGTTATCCCAAGAAACTCTAAGAAGTTTCATGCTACTTCTACGTTCTTTTTTATTACTGGAGCTCTGGCAAAACATTGTACCTGGATGATACAATATCATTTTGATTGCATCATTGTATCTGTTTTTGTTGTTTTTGATGCCATTGTCAGCAATACCTTTGCAAGATAGCAATAGACATCTTTGGACCAAAGTAAAAGCTGGTCTAAGGGAAATGACTAAATAATGGTTGCATTATCAACCTTTGTGGTCTGGAAAAGCAGTTTCACAGCAGGGAGGGTGCTAGTGGTCAAGATCCTTTGTTGGACCACACAATAACGAGAGCAGAAACGGTCCTCTATCTTAACCTGTAACATCTTCATTTGCAGCTGGCAGTGTCCACTGCTAAGTTCTGGAATAAGGGAACGGGGCATTTATAAAAACAGCCTGTGGAGGAATACAAGCGAAATAACGAATGTTAAAGAAAACCAAGTAAACTCACTGTGGCAAAATCGAGGGAAGCTTCAGACGTGTACAGGATAGGGGATGTGTTGGTTTTTTAATGAAGAATCAAAAACTGATAGTGACTGCTCTGTACATGGTCGTCTTCAATCATTTAGTGCCTCATTGAAAGGTCAGTAGATGTATCTTTGAACGTATGAAATAGTCTCTTACTTTTTGAATTTGAACAATGTAGAATAACATTTCCTGTTTGAAATAATGCAGTTTTTAGCTGATGTGTCTGAATGAAATACTTTATTACTAGATGAATAGAGAAATGCGTTTCACTTAAAATCATTCCTGTCGGCTAATGGCAGCTGATGATCTTTCTAATGAACATTTCCCATCATTCCGTTGAATGGGCATAATGGATCCACGTTCCCAATATGACCGCATTTTAGGGGGATTCGGGAACACGATCAAATGCCTTTGAAGTGACTTGTAGTTGGGAAGAGCACCCTCCAGTGTTACCTTTTGTGAGAATGCCGTTACTGAGGTCCCTACGGAGAAGCGCCCAGCTGTGGGTGAGGAAGCAGAACGAGACCAACCCACCAGCAGAGCTGGAGGGAACGCGGAAACTCGCGTCTCTCAGCTCCGGTTTCACGTCTCAGCTCCCCCTGGTGTTTGGGTTGATGCCTGGACGTTTAAAACTCGCTGCCAAGATGCTAATCTTTTAATATATTTTCTTTGTCTTGAGCAATTGTCGTCATTACAGCAAGGCGATTGCATAATGTTAATCATTATTATTATCATTGTTTTATTAATATGTGCAATGAAGGTTCCACTCGAACCTGTCAGAAGACAAGAGGTCTGGGGGTGTCGTCGTCTGTTGGTTTGGTAATTTGTCCTGACTACTGGAGTTGTGAGTATTCATACCACACCGGATTTATTCCGTGAATCGGTATGAGCAGTGCCTGGATACAGCAGTGGTATCGTGTTACATGACCAATACTGAGCTGTACCTCAAAGTTTGCAGAAAATGCATTTTAAGGAATTCTTTTTAAGGCATATTATGCATTGTGACATTTATTTTTCCTAAAGGACCTTACTGAGGAAAAATCCCACTGATTTCTGTTTAAATTGTCTTTTGGGGTTAAGGCCCAGGATTCTTTCTGCGTGACATGAGGTACTTTCCATATTCAGGGACTTGAAACGGAGTACTAGTCTATTAGTACACTGTCCTACTTAGACTTTTTTTGTACTTTCCATGAGAAGGTAAATGATCTGTAGCCTTATTAATAATTTTAAAAATTCAAATTTTAGCAGGAAATATTTTATCTGTAATTTACACATAGTGATATTGGATATCCTTATTTTTCTCACTTGATGTCTATTTTGTTTGCTAGATTGTCAGATTTGCGGGACATTTTGATATCGTATGCATTGATTTTCAAAAAAAATTGAATTTACTTGAAAATAATGTAGTTTTGTATTAAGGATTGATTATATATTGTGTATTTCATATTTCTATACCGAGTGCCTTTGAAATGTTATATCAATCAGGAGCAGGGATTAGTTGTGGTTTATAAGGTTATAAACCTTATACTGGTTGTTTGAGTAATTGCATTTGTTTAAAACAAATCCAGTTCATTTTAATTTTTTATTCTGAGCATATGAGTAAATCGACTCTAAATTATTTGTTTATATTGAAATAAAGTTAATTCTATGAGCAGAAAATGTTGTCTCATTTCATTACACATGGTTAATGCAAAATTTTCAGGCAAATGTTTTTTTTTTTTCAAGAATTCCATTATCACAGTAAAGAAAGTCCCTACTACATTAAAATCGCGTAAACGGAGCCGGGGAAATAAGCCCAGCCGTAAGGAGCATTAAACATCGTATTACGGCCTTCAGCAGCAGCTAGGGAAGGTAACCCGCATTAACCACGGACATCCACCCCATCTTTTAACTACAGTACTGTTTTCAACCCCCACCTGCCCATTTCGATCATCTGCGCGTTGATATGCCAGTCTGCCGGCACAACGCGGTTCTTCTTCGCCGTCCGAAGCAAGACTCCCAGCAAGACTCTGCATTTCTTTTACTGTTCTTTACTGTACAAAATTTGCATAAACATTAACGCAGGATTACGTTTCGGAACCGGTGCTGCGTGTGTGGATGTTATCCTCCCATCCAGATTTCAGACGTCTCTTTTAAAACTTATTTTTTAATTCGATCGCTGTAATTGTAAATACAGAGCAAAGAAACCGCACCGAAATTACACTAATGAAACATTTATATTCTATTATCAAAATGTAATTTTCATATTTGTACATGTCTACCATAACAGTTGCCTGGTGTCCGAGGCACTCTGCATTGCTTTATCTCCACACCCACAGGCAGGGTTATTAAAATCTGCACGTTGCCCTCCTCGTTTTCGGAAACAGAGGCAACGGGCAGGATGACCACAACTATTACTAAAGACGTAACGGATAAATTAATACTGCATCTTATTCAGTGTTACTTGGCTTCAGCCTTGTAATGTGGCACGAGTGCTTGTTGTTCAATTAATGTAGCGCAATTAAAACGCAACCAATGGGTATAACGCACCACCGCGTGAACTACAGCGGATTGTACCATAACATCCCACTGGAAAAAAAACCGTACTGGCAGATCAATGCAGGTACCCAGTCTATAAACACATATACAAAAGCCAGCTCTTCTCAGTGCAGTGCAGTACAGTACAGTGTGAAGTCCTTAATTGTGTAGCTGCCCATGTAACTCACTCTCCTTTGTTAATTTTTGGATTGTGAAAGACTTTAAAAACGGAAGCAATTAGCTCCCATCAACCAACCAAAACGCCACTGTGACTGGTTCCCTGCCCATTACAGAGCAGCTCTCAGAAATTATTGGAAATAAAATGCATGGGAAAAAAATACTCTCATTTACATAAACAGGTAATTTTAAAAATTAGAGTACTAGTAAAGATAATTTTAACATTATTTTGTAAAATATTATTTTAGCTTTAACATTAACAACCATAATTATATCTACTCTGTATCTAGCTACCTAATAAAATTTTGTAGTCAAAGATCTTTTGTAAATGTGTCTTTTGTCAATATAACAAATCTTAAGACTGAAACAATAGGGGATTTTTAAACACAGCATACACTACTGTATCGTTAAAAATGCTTTCTTCAGAGTTTCCTAAATGTCTGAAATCTTGTGTCTAAATGACAGTCGGTCTTTGTTTCTTATATCCCTTCTGGAATACACTGAACAAATCCAACACATGGCTTTTTATCCATCTAAGCTATGGAAAGGCTCAAATGATCTCGCTGGTCTTGATCCATTATAAAGTGTGATCTGGAGCTACTGGGCCACAAACTTCTCCTGCTCGAAGATGAGTTCCACAGCCTCATCCACGTCCCGCACGATATACCCTGGCTCCACCAGAACCGGGTCAAACTGGAAGTCACGGTGCCCGTGGAAGGCAGCCTGCTGCGACTTCCGGCCTCCGTCGGACAGCAGCTCCGCGTGGGGATTGTAGACGCCAGTGCACACCAGCATGGACTTGCAGCTGGTGGCAGAGGGAGCGGCCAGCTCTCTCTCCCAAGGCCCATCCAGGTCATCCTCCTGAGACAGCATGCCCGAGGAGCCCGTGACGGTGGCCATCTTGGCCACTGCCTTCCTCTTCTTCCTGGCGAGCCGCTCTTCGAGGTAGCGGTTGTACAGATTAGCACCATAGATGTCAGTCATGAGGTTGTCCCTGATTCAAAGATGAAGGAAAAGACACAGTGTATGTTACTTTAAACAAGCCCATTTTGCTTTCAATTACCAACGGTGCCAATTCTGGTGGGAACTGCGGATCTTAAATTGCCTGGTTACATTTTTAAAAACAAAATTGTAGTCCTAAAACCTGGCAATCAAAGAATTTCAGTGCAACTAAAATGCTACAAAGTCATTTAATTCCTTTCCATCATACTGAAGAATCTGCTAATCTGCTTGGCTGTGTGACACAGATGATTCGCTCATACCCGATGGCATAGAGGGACCGAATGGGCCGGCTCCAGTTCCTCTCCGAGGCTTGCTCTCGGATTAGGTATTCGGCATACTGGTACGTCAGCTCGCTGGGCTTGCCCACTAGGGCCTCGTACTTCAGTTCTTTGCCCGTTATCTTCTTGTAGATGTTCTCCAGGCAAACAAGGAAGGCTCCGTGACCAAACCTTTATATAAAGAAAGTGGTCGCTCTAGAACCACAATTTTACTCATCTAAACATTGAACAAGCCAATATCTAAAAACACAAGTTTTGTTTATGGAAATTCCATCCATATTTTGCTTCTGTATTTCTACAAATTGATTTGGTAAAATACTAATTTAAATCCTGACAGGTACATGACCTTTCTTGTGTCTATACTATAATAGGTTTTAATAAACTTCTGAATTTGTAATGATTTTATATTTATACTATACTATTAAATTTTTTTTAGCCCTATTAATCAGATGTTCATTACTATTACATTAATTCTATCAATGGTATACATGTGGGATGATAACAGACTGACAGCTGCAGTACAAACTTCTGTTTTAGACTGTAGTCTTGTGGCTTAGAAGACAATTTTCGCCAACATGCGCTGAGACCAACTGGTACACGGATTAAACGTTGCCCTGAGGCCTGGCTTTTAAACCGCAGCGCCCATCAGAGAATGCTCTACCGTGGGGAGTGAGCCTCTGCCATCCACATGAGGTCCATGTTGCAGGCCAACAGTGGAAGATGGGGGACCTTCAGATTCTGGTGGGCGTGGCCCAGGTTGCCATTGGTCAAAAGAATGTCAATGATAAGCTGCAGGTTGGTTTCCCACCGAATGGGCTCACCGAAAAGAATAACGGCTACAAGGAGAAAGTCAAAGCACAAACAAGCCTGTGCATGTGTATATTTTTGGGCGTGCTTAAAGACAAGCCACTGCATTATAGAAATCAATTGACTGAAAACAATGGATTGAGTCTTGAACAGGTGTGGCATTAAGCCTCTACTTAATCGACTATTCAAGGTACTATTCAGGTATTAGGTGTTTAAAGTTGGCTTGGGGGCAGAAGAAATAAAAAATACATGCAGGCTATTAAAACATTCACATAATTTGACTTACGAGATTTGTTCTATTCAAGATGTAATGAGAATACAGTAATTAATCTATCAAATGACAGCATAAATCTTACCTTCAATTTGGGGGATATTAGCAATGGAAGACGACTACAAAAATACAAAGAAAAAACACTTCAGAGGTTTGGCCTAGACCTACAGTAAATTTTAATTGTACGTGTAAATAAAACATGCTAATATTCAATTACATGTTAAATGACCACTACATTTAGTGTTTCTCACTAAAGGGGAAAAAAATCTGTTTCCTGTTTTGTTAAGAGGAATTGGGCAGATATATACATTTCACAATATAACCAGCCATAATTCCAGTATGACATACCCACTGTGAAAAATAATGGTATCTTTTGACTATGTATATGACTATTCCTAAAAACTTTACAATTCCTCATAAATTAAATTTGAAGAAATAAACACATACACTGCATAAGCACATGGCAAATGCGTTTAAACTGTTACTCCTGTTCACTGTTCAATTATTCCACCTGATATGTACTGCTGCTATCAAAAACTCTCAAGCAATCTCATGCATTTTAAAAGTTTCCTTAGATGACTGATTTCATTTCAAAATTCCCAGAACTCCTGAAATATCGGCCGTGAGCTGAAGCCAGGGGTGCCGTAAGGGGGGCGCAATGTTAGGATGATTCCAAGGGGCCTCTGAGTGTTAAATGGCCTTAAACAATTCAGAACATCATTGGACTGGTCTGGATTGGGGGCCCAATTTGATATGCTTTCAAGGGGCCCAAAATCTCCAGCGGCACCCCTGGCTGAAGCCCTCAGATGGAAAGTTAAATACGCGTTAACCGGTGTGAAAAGAGCCACTCGGAATTATCTGCTTATCTATAAGGAGGCAGAAACCCAGCCAAAGAGCCTGACGGACAGAAAGCAGACGTAACACTTCGACTCACCGGGAGTTTAGGACGCCGGTTGTGGTCCACCACATCCAGCAGGGGGAACGACTCTCGAAGCATGCCGATGCTCAGCACCTTCTCAAAGCCCAAACTGTGGAGGCACATTTCAGGTGAATCACTCAATCATCAAAGCAATTATTCACTCTCAATTTTCTGTATGATTTAGAGCAGCCCAGTCTGTGGGACCCCCAGACAGTCCACAATTTTGGTCCCTCCTGGGTGCGGGGAGTTGGTACAGAGCAAACGTGTGGACTGTCTGGGGGTCTGAGAGCTGGCTTAAGAAACACTTGATTTAGAGAATAATCAAGTTTCACGTTTCATAAATATTCTATTTGCATCCTTGTCTACTTTGCACATATTACTTATTGTTTAGTCATACTTATATTGCACTGTTTTGTCTGTCTTGCTTTGCATTGTCTTGTCTTGTATTGCACTGCTGTTTGTCCGCTTGTCCCCCATGCACCACTCTCCCCCGTCCCAACACCCTACAACTGTGGCATATGGATTTCACCATGTCGCACCAAACAGAGCCACATGTGCTGGAATTGCATTTAAGGAAGATGCGGAAGAGTAAGCGTTTGACAATAACTCCCAGAGTGTTATATGGATTCCTCAGTTATATCACAAAGCAAAATGATTGGTTGTGCTTGGCCTGCTCATTTGGCTGTTTTTGAGAGTGGTTTAATCTAGTCGGGAAACACTTGTGGCAGACCACTCATCTATACTCTGCTGTAACAGCTGCAGCGGTGGTTCTCAGTTCTGAAAGCACCCAGGTCATACTGGTGTGAGTCACAACAACCATTTTAATAGATCAAATAATACTGGGAGGTTTAAGGTGTGTTTGATTTAATAAAATGTGTAAAATCTGTGCCGAGTAAAGAAATGTTTTTGCTTTATCACAGCTTCAACTGCTTGCACGAAAAAAAAAATCCACAATAATATCATTAGCAAGATATGACCAACTCACTCTAGACAGAAGTGCTGGCAAAACACAGACAATGCAAAACAGAGTGGGAGAAACCTGACTCGATGAGGCGCTACAGGTAAAGCATGCTCTGCACTTCACTTTTTGGCGATGTCCAGCACAGGTCCTTGTCCAGACACCAGCACACACTTGTCGTGGTACTTCCTGAACATCCTCAGAGGACTGTGTGACATCATGACCTGATCCTGGGAGATCTGTCAAAGTGGCACAGCAGTGTTCACCAGTGTCATGTGGATGACCACACAGGTTGTTAGTGGGTTACTCTGCAATCAGATCCCGACAGCAAACAAAAAAACACACACAGACAGAAAGCCATTCACAACTGGAGAACCCTAACAAACACAACTGTATATTTAATACGGACATTTACTACCTGTTCGCCTGTACAGGCAGGTCCCCTGGTTACTTGTACTTACGAATGGACTGCTGTAAAGTCTATTGTATTAAAGATTTGCATTACATTCAATGGTTTGTAATAATGAACATACACACTACATTGTGATGCTTATGAAAACATTGCGCAGCTTCAATGGTTTATCGCCTCGAGGTACAGTACAGTGTGTAGCTACTTTTGTTATTACTGTATTATTGTTATTATTAGCATGGTACTACTGTTTTGACTAAGCTACAAATTCAACTTAAAGTCAGATTTAGGAAACAGATCATTCGTAACCTGAAAACTGTAAGACATTACTCCTGCCTAAAAGGTCAACTAGAGTTTCTGTAGAAGTCGCCCAATATTCTTTGCTATTACTCTAATGGGTTTTTAGAAAGAGACCTAAATGTCTAGTTTTTTTTCGAATTTAACACTTATTGTACTAGTGCAAAATAATATTAAGAAATGCTAGCAGAACTTACTGATGTTTCCTAAAATAATTTTGTAAGATAGCCTAATCCTTTCCTTTCCCACACACAAAGCTGGCTTAAAATAAAACTTAGTTGGAAAGTTTCATTATAAATTCCATCTATCCTCCAGTCACTTGTCTAGTACAGTTGCAGGTAAATGCATTAATTCATTAATATTTTAATGTTTTCTGTGTTGTAAATGATTGTATTACTTCTTGTATTGTGTTTACTAAAGACAAGAAGGGTAACCTGGTTGCTAGAGAGACTTCAGCATGAAGGGGATGGATTTACACATCAGAAGCCTTTACACTTGACTCAAGATCCAGAAATGTATCCTGTATCGCTCCATAACCTGCCGTACGTATGGGTGACACTGAGAGGTACTGGTGGATAAAGGCCTAAACTGTGAAACAAGTTAATAACATCACAACCAAAAATGAGAGACTGACTCACCGGCACTCCCAGGATATGCGAGAGCTGGTCTGCTTTGGTCTGACGTAGACAATTCCCGGCATTTGTCACAAAGACCACTGGCACCACGAAGTGGCCCTGGGGATTGAAGAGCTTCTGGAAGGCCTTCCTCGCTGCAGGAATGGGCGTCCGCCCACGAACAAGAACGCCATCGATATCAAATAGCAAGCCGAACCCTGGCTGGAGCTAAGGAAGGGGAGATTGAATTACACCATTAACTTCAAAAATCTACTGCTAACTAACTTTCCAGTCATGAAGCTTAAAGAAATGTTTCCTTCAGTTCACTAAGTGGATTTAAAGAAAACGTCCAGCAGTTAATAATGTTAATAATATCCAATTGGTCACTTTAATATCTTTGCCAATAACATTGCTAATAAATGCCAATACGAAAGACAGCAAACACTGGAAGACATTCGGATGGTGAGAATATGTAGACGGGAACTATATAAAACTTACAACAAGGTCTGTGGGCAATTGAAATCTGCAGTGTACTTAAGGTGTACCAACTGTAGATGATTAAGGAGTCGCCATTTTGACCGTTTCCTAGCATGGGACTGTGATACAGAGTTAATTCTACTGACAAGATCGTGACTCTAACTGGGGATGACCGAATACAACGGATCAGTGACCATTTACTGTGAATTATTTAAAAAGCACGTGAAAAACAAATTGTTTCAATTACACTCCAGTGACTGAGGCTGGGTGAAACCTTATGATTTCCGCAGGTGCACTGCTAGAGATTGTGGGCCCCCAACCCACTAAAATCCCCTGGGAATTATCATAACTTCCCATCCTTTACAGCACCAATGGCCGTCTGATTTAAGGGAAGATCAGAGGGCAGGATCAAACACTGTTCCTGAAGCAACTGGGGTTAACAATATTATCCCAATATAACTAAAGTTATTATTTCTTTACTTCAATGCTCCTGTACCTCAGGCTGACAATCCATTGCAGCATTTTCACAAACTATTATCACAGAATAGTGTGTACATTCGTTATTATGGACTATAGCAGGGGTCTCCAACTCCGGTCCTGGAGAGCTACTATCCAGTAGGTTTTCTATCCTACCTGGCTTCTGATGAGCCACACCTGCTCCTGGTATTTACCTGAGAACTGGTGTGCTATAGTATTTTACTCAAATTATTAATATAATAGACTTTTTGGTAGTCCGTTTGTAAGCATGAGTTGTGTGTGTCAGACATTCTTAAATCAGCGATTGCCTGTAACGCTACTGAAATTGATACATTTTCATAACCGTGATATGATTTTATCGATATATATCACCCAGCCCTAGATTAAGGTTCTTGCTCAAGGGCCGAACAGTGATATGATTACTCTGTCAGACATGGTGTTTGAACCCATGACCTTCTGGACATAGGCATAGAAATCTAAACTGCTGATTTACACACTGCCCCCATTGAATGAAGCGCTACGGACAAAAAAAAAAAATGCGAGCAAAGAATGTGAGATTTCAGCAACAAGAGGAATCCGTTAAAAATGGGCATTGACATTTGTTCAGAATAAAAGAGTCACTAACGTGAAATTTGAGCAAATAAAATTTGAGTCTGTTTCCATCATTTTGTAAATACTTAATACCATCTGCTCATTACACAAATCTGTGGCAAACAACAGCTTGATTCTTAATTAAGTGCCCGGGCAGCACCCGAGGAGAAAGCTTACCAGCGAACAAGGCAAACCACAACTCGTGTTCTGTTTTATACGCCCATATGTCAGCCAGGTTTGGAATCTGCTACACTAATCTCACTTCCTGCCTCACATTGTTTACTTGTGCAAAATGCGTGTCCGTAACTGCCAGCCAGTCTGGCTTGTGAGGTCACAATAATTCATCACAATATACACTTCAAAACAACCCCACCCCCCAAAATATCTAATTAACAAATCTAGCCACCTTTACATGAGGATGAATAGGAGGGCAACGGAACCTCAAACAGCATTAATGTTCTGCAATGAATGTATATGACACGATCCTTATTTTTACCTAAGATAAACTTTATCTATTGAGACTTCCGATTGGTTAAATACCTGAATATACAGTATGCACTGCTATAAAGTTGTGAATGAAAGGTCCCTAAAAGTCAGAGTGCATTAAACTGTTGCCACATTAACAACCAGCACTGTCTGTTTGTTATAGAGCTTATATACCACATACACTCACATGGTTTATACACACATCTCAGACAGTTTAACAATAAAATGCATGTATCATGGTCTGCTGTTAAAAGTACATGTATAAAGGAATTTAAAAAAACTGAAAAATCATACTAAATAATGGCTTATTACCCTGTGTGTAAAAAATTGACATAGGAAAGAAGTTTCCACTTATTTTGCAGACACTTTTATCCATGAAAACAATGTGAGGATCAGAGTCAGCTAGTGTCCCTAAGGCAATTGCGGTTAAGGGCCTTACTCAGAGGTGACGGTGGATTCGAACCTTTAACCTACCGACCATGTGCAACGAGTCCTAATCCACAGAGCCACATACCACCTTACACTCAAAGTTTATCTAAAAAGCTGACAAACCCTGATTAAGTCCTCCAGTCCTTTTCCTATCAACTAGAAAAAGGAGGAAATTGCATTACTGCTAAGGAGAAGGATTAGAGATTGAAATTAGAAAGGCCCTCTTTCAAGAAAAACGACAGCACGAGCCGTGAACTCCCTCAGGTGTCCGTCAGTAAAGCTTTGCCTGCATCTCTCTGGCACACTTTGGAAATCACACCGATTGCCCTCTATCTGTGGATGCAAACATCTATGCATTTTCTCTACCACAACACTGGGTCTAACCAGGGGAATTTTACAAGAAACGTTGTTTTCGTGTGGAGTTTATTTCAGATACCATGCATACATCACCTTTATCACCGTAAGTCATTTTATCTGGGATTTTGCATATTTGTCCTTAAAACAACATTAAATAAAGTACAAACTCAAGCTATGGAGACAAATACCGATATATTACATGGATTCTTCTGTGATTATAACCCTCTTTGTTTCCTCTCTCTGTCCCAGAAGGTGTGTAAACTGATTTACTTCTTCTTACNGACATCTGGTTCTTTTTCTCCATTTGAACAATGTTAACCACTTTCATTACTTTTATTTATAATCTTGATTCAACAGGGGTTTATATTTGCCTGGCAATGTGACATTTTTACGGTATACAAAATCCAAGTCTGCAGAACTCAGATGACCAAGACTTGTTCCATTATTAATTCTTTCAAGCATAAAAAGTTCATTTGTTCCACGTGTAACTAACTACTAGGGGTTTAATATATTTCTATAAATATGAGTACATAACTGAAAACAATATATTAGGAATGAAAACTGCTGACCTACAGAATTGCATAGGGGAATGTAATCAGGTACCATTTCAAAAGTGAGCATTTTAAAGGAGAGGCACCCCAGTTTGTCAACGTCTGTGCGTTATGTATTAGGGTTATGGAACAGTGGAGTTTAAAACCAGCAATCACTAACATCCAACAATTAATTTAGCATTTGTACAATTTTAAACCTATTAATCGTTGCACAGATTCGTACTTAAATGTGACCCGTTCACATACTGTAGGCTGTCCTGTGTGCATTTAAATATGCAATTTTTCAGCTTACTATAGGCATCTCAAGTCATGTGAATCACGGGACAATTTATAACAGAAAGTGTTTGTTCCCAATTAAACTTCAAAAACAGGCAAGGAACAGGCCAGTTATTGGGAATTACACCACTAAGATAGCTGTTTCCTAAAACGCTACGTGAATGTAGCTTTTTTCTAGCGATATAAATAAATGGCACTTCATCAAGTTCATGCAAAATTTATTACCTCATTTGGACGATCAATTACTGATGAACGTTTTAAATTCCGTACAGCAGAAAAAACCGGATGAATGAGTTTATCATCTTGAATTGCAGATACACATACACATTTAGCCTACAGTTGTATGTATACACATACATGCGTAACACGTGTCTACATATATGTTTGCGTATAACCGTAATTTATGTTCGGCATCGCAAAAGTAAACCAATGTAGTCTTAAAATTAAGCACAGTGAGGTTACAAACAGTGTACAGAAAAACACCATGATTAAGTTACATCGTGGCATGCAGGGGCAGCATTCATTAAAACAGAGTCCCGGCGAAGGAGCGCCCTCGGAACCCACCGTGTCAGACGCCGTCCCGCAGATCCCGCAGCGTGGCAGCGCCGGCCGGCTGCACACTGCGCTCACCAGCCGGTGTAAAGCAGAGAAAGCCTGCATTTTAATCTGCAGCTGCTCCGACTGTGCACAGCCTCAGATATAACAGCACCCGGACTTACTGATGAGCTCCTTTGTGTCTTACGGCTTTTCACCCCGCTATCTATTCCCCCATACTGTATTTCACAGGCGGAGACACCGGAAAAGGTGGTTCGATTCGTGCGGTAAGGAAACAAATGAAGCGTTGCTTGGTGTGCTGCATGTATAAATATATACTTTAACGCACCATACGACAATTGCATTGGATTGGACAATAGTCGTTGAAAAACGCACATAAAGGCTGCTACGTAAGAGCATACGTCGCCGTGGGAGTGGCGACCTCGGGCCGCCGAAAAGCAAAGGCCCATCAGTCGTGGCATTGTGTGGGAAACTGGTGGCTGCCTGCGCAATGGCTTCTTGTATTTGAAAAAGAGGCATTAATATCTGGAAAACTACCGCAAAATCCAATAAACTTTGTCTTAAGTGGTCCGTCGGTTTAAAAAAAAACAAACAAACACAGGTTGCAGTCTGAGGCTATATAATTATGATGTTCTACTGTTGTAGGGTTTGTAGTTTAGTAGTAGTATTTTGTACTACTTATAGTAGGAGCAAGGACATCAACAGTGGAATTAATGGATTGTAGCAACAGCTGCATTGTGATTGTAGTACTTCTTTTAGATACCGCCTTGTATAATAGTAGCAAGTGTGTTAATAGTAACTAGAGAAGTAAAAGCAGTCAGCATATTGGAATTGATATTTTTTAAAATAGTGTGGTATAATTGACAGTTATTACTAGAGCTTTGAGTAACAATACATGTACTAGTTGGGAATAGCAGCACCAGCCCTGCCCACAGCACTGACCTGCATTAGCGACAGTCTGTAGGGCAGTGCTGACCTCCGGGCGTAAAGGGGGTGTTGGAGTAGCTGTACAGTAGAAAATCAGATTTGAACGCCACAGACTAAGGCTTGTCCTGCACTAAATGGCATTCAGGAATGAAGAAACTCAAATTACCTCTAAGTCCAGGATTTTGGCTTAATCCGAGTCCGCGAAACCAGCTCTGGGTCCCAATAAAGACAAATTCTGCCAAGCAATTATCCGATTTAAGGTGCTCCACGTAAATGACAATACATTTTTGTTCTTACCAAGACCAGATTCTTACACAACAGAACACGTTACTAAAACGTGATGTCCGCCATTACAGGCTTAGTCAAGCTGACCACCCTCTAAAAGAGCCCGAAAAAATCATGACATTCACGTCCAACCATGTAGAAATGAACAGGTCAGTCATCTGCACAATGGAAGGTGCCTGCAGCAGATCAAGAACACACAAAAGCACTGTTGTGATTGACCAAGGGCTTTACTTACATTAAAGGGAGGACGGACAACTATTCTGTTAATGTAAACAAAAAAATTACAAAACTTACTTTGTAGAAAATAGTTTACTGACAAACACAGTGATATAAAAATCCAAAAGCAGTTATTTACATTTGTTTCAGTGACACACAAACAAGGCTTATGAGGACCTGTGTGATGATTAGCATCAATAAGCCCTGATCCACCCAGGTCCAGCTGTGGAGAATGACAGACATCTCCTGGACCTTAGGCCTGACGTCTTTGGGGATGCAGTGACCTCCGGGCCCTATAGCCCAAGCAGAGTCTTGGCCTCCTCACTCTGAGCCATCAGCGTCTCACTGGCATATTTCTGCAGCAGCTCCATCTTCTTCCTTCTGACCAGCGCTTCCTCAATCTAAAAATGGAAGGAAGAAAAACGCAAAGGCCTATATTACCACATATTCAACAACGCCATGGCTTTAAACACCAATGCAGTTACAATTTTCAGCAGACACTTCTCCAAAACAGCCTCTCTAGGACTTAGAGGTGCAGCTTGCTTGCTGTGTATCACACAGCCAGTCCTGCTTGGTTTCTACCTCTTTCTGTGAAGGTACAGGGACATGGGCGATGAAGGCCTGCGATCCTTCCTCTCCCTCCATGCTTTCCTTCATCTCATCATCGGAATTCTTATTATGAAGAAAAAGAAAAAAAAAAAGTAGTAATGAACCAAGCATTCAGGCTGATGCTGAGATGCCCATATGCACAATCAAGTCAGACAGCATTAAGTTTAATTTCGCCATATGTGGTTTTAACAGAGAATTGATGATACCTCTTCCCTCACAGCATAGATGTTCTCCTCCTCCTCATCCTCCTTTACCCCACCTCCTCCTCCCTCCAGACGGGCTTCTTTCTCTGCTTTCCATTTTTCAACAGCCTTTGCTATGACTGGGACAGCAAGCGCAGACAGACATGTGACATTTATGCGCAGACATTTGCATTAATGATGCCCTGTGATTCATTCAGACGCTACACCCCAATACGTTTTATATTTTATTTAATAGACACTTTTATTCAACAATAAAAATAGTAGTCATACAGTCCCTGGAGAATCTGGGGGTTAAGGGCCTCACTCAAGGGCCCAACAGTGAAATCACTGTTGACCCCGGGATTTGAACTAGCAACCTTTCAATCACAGACACAACCATCCTCACCTGCTGAGCCACACGCTACCTCCCTATTGTAATATTACAACACGCAGCAGTGGAGTTCATTCAGTCATATGGCTCTCTTAACCACAAACTGATTCACAGATTTGATTCGGCGCTGGCAAGCAGTTCATGTGCTTGTTAGTTATCATTAAAGAGGAAGTTTAACTCAGAAATGTGAGGTTAAGCGAAGGAAGGTACCTTGTTTCTCATACTCCTGCTCCAGAGGGACCAAAACACCGTCGTCTTCATCTCGGTAGCCATAGTATTCAGCGTCTATCTCCTTCATGAGCTCAGCTCGAGTTTTTCTTGGAGGTGGTATTGCTAAATATAGGAGGCATCGTTATATAATTATATAGGGTAATTATTATATTTATACATTTCTCATGTTTGACACTTGGTCTCTGTTAGAATGATGCCGGTTGAAAGCCAAAGCAGAGAACATGAAGTGGCGAAGCGGCGCTTACGCTCTTTCTCGAAGAGCTCTCGCACACCGGGCAGATCCTTAGCCGCTCCAAAGTACTTATACCCTCTGTTTCCTGGGACCTCCTTTCCCTCGTGGTCCAGCATCCTTGGTCCTATTCTCTGAAAGCCAATTTTAAAACATCTGATTAGTGTTTTCTGAGGTATGGACGGTCTGACAAATGCAGTTTCTTACCAACTGGACCCTACTTGCCTGAAGATAATGTCTTCATGTTTCATTCACTCCAATTTCCCATATTACTCATAGACTACATTACGGATGAAATCCGATGCATCAACATAACCCTCTGACGTGGATAAAAATGAATAACCACGTACATTTCTGAGTGCATGGTTTGAATGATATTTAACTTTAAACATTCAAATGAATAATTTTCATCAACATCAAAGAGCCAAAATCCAAGCATTTAAGTTGTGTCTCTCTCTCAGTAAATTATCAATGGCATGGTTATTATTTAAATACATCCATCCATCCATCCATCCACCCATCCACCCCTTAAGCCATTATAGTGTACAGGGCTGTGCAGGAGGCCTAGAGCCTATCCCAGAAAGCATGGGCCGCAAGGCTGGCAAACACTCTGGACAGGATGCCAGTCAATTACAGGAAACACACATGCAAATGCTCACACAACGCAGGCAATTTAGAGATGTTACTGCAGCCAGCTGTGTGGCTCTGGACTGTGGGAGGAAACCCACACAAAGAAACAACTGCAAACTAAAACTGTGTGAGGAGGCTAACTCATGCCTTACAGTGAACCTGAACTGAGCACAGGCAGACCTCGACTATTCAGAGCTTATGCCTAAAGCCACGGCAGGATTGTTCCTGATGCTCAGGTGACACCAGGCTCTCCTCCGCGGGGTCGAAGGTGAAAGTGCCCAAGCAGTCCACACATAAATATTCATGTTTTGTTTTGTTTTTTTAAATAATACGCAATACATTTAGAATAAATTATTATTACACACTGATATGAATAACAAACCACATTTTCAAATTTATCCTTACACAGAATTCCCCGCTTGGATCAATAAAAGTTACTTACTGAATGAATTACTTTCATTGTTCAAATAGCTTTCTGACCAGTAGGGGGTGCTATTGCACCCCTGGAAAAACACCAGTGACTCAATATTTAAAAAAAAACACACCAGCCAGACATTCGCCCTACCCCATAGTCCGGGCCTCCGAGCTCCTTGATGCGGACCTCCCAGTGTCCCTTTTCTCGAAGCAGCTTGTTGATCTCGTCATTAAGGTCTCGGATCTTAAATTCGCCGAGACCGGCTAAGAGTGGCAAGACAAATATCTATTAAACCTCGGTGCTTCCATTATAGTGACATTTTCCCCACACAAACATTGGCTGCTTTCTGAAGGCACTTACCATTTTGAATCTGTGCAACTTTCTTAGAAATTTCACTGATGATCTTAAAAAAAAAAAAACAGAAAAAAAAAAACAAATTTAAAATGTATACATAATGCCAGGAACATATTACACAAGTCAAAGAGCATAACATTTTAAATATGGTGCCAAAAACTGGGAGAAACAGCAGCACCTAATGGTGACACACTTTATGTCCCCCCCCCAGTCCGACTACCCATGTCTAACTGCTCTGTACATTGTAATTTATCTGTTATGTGGTACATTTATTTACCATTTTACTGTTCTTATACAAGTAGGAAAAAGTTGGCCATCTGTAGACAGACAGTTGGGTAAAATAAACATCAACTGAGAATGATTTCTTCCATCAGCTAAACAATGTGTGGCTGATTTCCATGTGAGGATATGAATAATTATTCAACAGAAAATCTTTGATCATTCCATTCTTGGCAGTTATAAATTCAGTAACTACTTCATTAGGTACATCTATCTACAGTATCAAGTACAGCGTGTAGCTCAGCAAGTTAGGCCTTTGTGCCTGTCATCAGATGGTCGCTGGTTTGAAACCCATCCTTAGCAGAGTAGCCACATCTCTTTTGGGTCCTTGAGCAATGCCTTTAACCCTCTGAAAAATGCACCGGGATGCTGGATGGACAGTTCCACTCTCACCCCTATGTGTGTGTATGTCTTAAGGAGGAGAGTGAAATTGGATAAGGTTAATTTTGCCTGTCACCAGAAGTATTTTTAGCATAAATGTTTTCTATATTCAGAGTAGCCATTCTGTATACCAGTTGTACAGAGTTATTTCTGCACTGGTAACATTCCTGACACCTTTAATGAGTCTGGCCATTGTCTTCTGACCTCTAATTAATGAGGCTTGTGTATTCAGCCACAAACTGCCCCTACCGGATGCTTTTTTCCGCCACCACTCTGTATAAACTCTAAACGCTGCAGCGCATGACAATCGCAGGATGCTGGCTGTTTCTCAGATATTGGATCCACCTTGTCTGGCACCATCAATCACACCATGCATCCAATCAATTACATCACACATCTTAGCTGTTTCAGCTGTTGACAGTCTCAGAACCTTGCGACCATGTTTATATACAATGTGTATGACTGTTGATAAAAGTGATGCACCTAATAAAACGGCCACATCCATTTTTATATTTATATTAATTTATATTTTTATATATATATATATATATATATATATATATATATATATATATATATATATATATATATATATATATATATATATATATATTTCATATTTATTAGTAAAGAGGGCAACATTAAGGTATATGTACATTAAACAGAAGAAAAGAAACACAGGTATATACATTTAATATACATGACATGAAAAATGTCCTACCTGTCGTCTCCACTTCTCTGCTTTGGGTAACTCGTTGCACTCCGAAGCAAGAAAGGGTCTCCTTTCCTAAAAGCAAATGGAAAATAAAATATCAGTTTAAACAGAAATAACTAAATAAACCAAATCAGCAAAAAAGGTATAAACCACTCAGAGCACTTTCGAAAATTTCTATACACCAATCTACAAGCTTTACAAAGCAAATGAGGTATTTTTCTATAAAACCCGAATGGAACCATTCAAATGAAATGTTAGAGAAAGCTATTCCAGAAAGTGCTTAAGACCTTAAATAACAAATTTAACCTTTGAAACAATGTTGCAGAATTATCCTGTAATATTAATATGCTCAAAAAGGATCACAGTGAGCAGGCAGCACACGGCAGGAGACACGCTGAGCAGGACGACAGGGGGGCACAGGGGGCACACACACAAACATACAATCACAGCCTACAGGGAACTCAGAAGTTTTTGGACTGTAGAAGGAACCCATAACATCTGGAGGAATCTCAAGCAAACAGTGCGAGAACATGCAAGCTCCACACACCCAGAGTGGGAGTGAAAATCACAATCCCAGGCCAGGAGGGGGAGGGCCGTAGTGCTACCTAGTCAGCCACCTCGTCACACAACTATTACGCTTAACATGCTTTATTCATCTACATGAAAAGCAGAGCCTTTTACTCGGTTACACATTTGTTATCATATATGAGGCCATGCAATGTGTTGTTCGCTATACACATGCACATTATTGCACAAACGTAGTGTAATGACGATTATGAGCGGATTCATATATTTCACGCATACCTTGACTTTCCCCTCCTCCAACTGGGCCTGACGAAATCGGGCCAAGGCCGTCCTGTCAGCAGAAGAAAAAAAAAATCGAACTTTATACTGAAAATCCCCATAAACTCAGCCCTACTTAATGTTTCGATAGAAATTAAAAATGCATCAGAATTGACATTAAATGAGTTTACAGTATACTATGTTACATGTCACCTCTGAAATCACAATAATATTTAGTCACACGTTTCAATAGTTTAACAAAAATGTAAGTTGAAAAAGAACAGACAAAAACTGCATAAAGTTCAAAGCGATAAGAGTAGTTTAGAAATTAACTCACATGGCCTTTTCTGCATTTCGGGCCTGTTTTTAAAGAAAAAAACATTTTGTGACTCAAAAGGTGAGATTAAGTAATACAAACAACACCATTATGGTTTAACATTCAGCATCGTTTCTGAGTGTTTGAGCAGTGTTATTTTGTTTCGATGTTAAGTGATAATAGAATTCAAACGTCGGAAAAGCATTATGTATAAATATGACTACTCCAAACTTAACATAATGCAGATGTAACGTCACGTTAATGAACATTAAAACGCTAACCCGGAGCCAGTGTCTTCATGTCGAACGTTAGCAAAGCTAATGCAGCATTAACTCTTCTGGAATTTACCATATGTATTACTAGAATGTTTAAATATTACGAACACCGATATTTGAAAATTTCTGATTTTGATATTCATACTGCATTACGGTTATAGTTCTTAATATGAAACCGTGACAATCTAGTTAGCGAACTACAACCCATAGCAAATATCATATTTAAGCACGGGACATTTACTTATTATTTAGTGTGACTTAAATACATCCCAGTATGATTATTAAAGTACAGTATATATCTCAAACTATACCATATTTGCAGCTTATTATCCACGCCTTTCTCGCACTTAGTTTTCTCCCACCACACACGATTACAAAAATTCCGGAAGTTGTCACCAGAATGTCAGAGTTGAAGGGTGAAAGGTGAAATAAATACGTAAGATGGCTGGTCACGTGTGTAGCTAACGCTGTGGTCTGCAAACGGGTATTAACGATGCTGATGTTATACACTTCTAGAATACATGAGCCGTGAGTGCAGTTGTTAAATCCAATAAAATAAATTTTGCAATAAAACCGGTTCACAAACTTAAGTTGTTTTACATTCTCGGTGTGGGCTTTAAGCCACCTATTTACTTATGTGGCGCAACGAATCACATGTTTTATATTTAACCTTGAGTCCAATCCGATTATTTTGAATTATGTTATTTCTTGGCACAAGTTTAGCCCTCATTATTACTTCTTTTTTTCATTCGGAAAAAATTCCCGATCGGCTACTTGAAGAGTATTCAGCAAGAGGACCTTGTTTCCTGCGGTCTGTTTTCATACAGATTATAACTCGTGTAGTGGCAGTCCGAATCTGATTTATATTATAGAGTTTTCCAATGCATTTTTACCCAGTGCCTACATTTGAAACGTAATTGTGGGTGTGGCGTAAGAATGCTACATTAAAATAGTGAATATTGCGCAGCCACTGCCGTTAAGTTACTAAGTGGTGGTGCTGTTTTTAATGTTCACATACCACTTGTCAGCGAAGGCTTATAATTTAAGATTTTGCTTCTATATAGTGCTGTTGTTTTTAATTTGGTTGGGGAAAAATTATTTCTCCTATTGCACATTACAGTTGCCCTTCTACTTGAAAATATATGTACTGCATATATGTGTATACATCATTATATTATATCTGTATATTAACTCATTTAAGACTGTAGGTGCAAGACTGTACTTAGGCTCAATTTATGTTGATATGTCAGGCTTTAATACTAAAAGGCAAGAATCATAAGAACAAAAAAGTCATGTAGATGTTGATCATAAATCGATGTATGGTTTTCATGTTGAGGATAATAATGCCATTCCTTCCTAGATAAAATAATCTAAATAATCCAGATTGTTTTTTTTATTAAATTAAGGAAATTTATACATTTATGTGAAAAAGGGCCTTGAATCCTCAACATCTTCTTTGAAGGAGTTTCAAGCAAAAGTACTGTAACTGTCATTCAGGCAGATGGCGTGAGCCCCTCCCTCTTCTCCTTGCAGGGAACCTGAGTCTGAAACCTGCCGCTCAGGGGCTACTTGTCTGGTAAATTCAGTCCAGCCTTCACATGTCATGTTTGGATGGAAGTGTGCAAGGGAACAGCCCATTAAACAACAGTGGGTTGGAAATATTCTGATTCCCAGTGTAAATTAAGTTATTTTCGCTTAGTACCTGGCTCTTGAGAAAGTAAAATGAATTATGACAACTTCTAGCTTTTCACTTGGAGCAAAGTAAACAACGTTCTTTCTAGAACAGACACAGGCTGTCTTGGCACCTGTGTCTCTCTAGGTGTCTTTTTTCCCCTCCTTTGCTCTCCTGTGCACGAGTCGGTCTTTTGCCTATAGTGACGGTGTAGCCCTTTATTTTGCCTGACGATGACAGGCCCATTGTCAGTTCTCACTGTCCGTCTTGCCATCTGCTGACAGCACAGTTTAGAAGCTTGGCAGGGATTCCAATTCCAGTTATTCAGCGGAGAAACCCAATCTGAGTCACACAGGCCATGCTCGGGTCCAGAGCTCTGGCGGCGCTCTGCCACAGTCCAGCGTTCTTCATTGTGCCATAGGTCTCGTACATATGGGCCTGAATCTTGATATGAATTCTGAGAATGATGCATTCCTTTGGCTTAGTCCTAAAAAAAGAAAGCTGATAGGTAATGCTTTGCAGTCATGCATTAATTGGACCCGCACTGACCAACCATAGTGATCTTTCTCCCATAATATCTGTATCTTAACACACAATATTCCCAGTTGTATGCAGCAATAGCATAAGCAGACTGCATAGACTGCTCAGTAGACACATAATAGTTCATCTCTGTTAGCTGCTTCTAAACAGCAACAGTCTCATATGTATCAGGAGCCTCAAGGAAATTTATTTGAAAAATTTTGAAACCAAATACGCTGTGACCCAGTACTGGATGAACAGCTATGGGGGGAAGGGGGTCAGTGAAATCAAATACCCCTGAATTTCATAATGCCCAAGGCTACAACCACTGAAACGTATGGAAGTAGAAAAGATATATCTGTATGGTGAAATAATGAGTTTGGCCTGTAGAAAACAGTATCTAGCGTGGTCGAGCCAGATATAAATCCTGTTCTGCATTTGATTGGCTTATAATTTAATTAGGTGCACCCCTAATAAATACTTATGGAGGGAAAAATACTTACCACAATTTTTAACCATTGCCTGTGGAGTTATATTTATGAAACCAGCGTTGATTAGTAATTGGGCAAACATCAACCCTCACAATCAAATTTTGATTGTGTTTTTGTGGGAAAGGGTAAACGCCTGACTGGGGTAAGCTGATTACCCATCCACTTGACCTACATCGTACCTCAGGCGCCCATGAATAATTTATCCACGATGCACTTACTGTATATGGGGCGTTCTTAGCTGTGTTCTCCTCATAAGAGAAAGTGTTGAGAGGTTAGGGACACGGTGTGTCCATCATCTTGATCAGACAATGCTTTTCTGTCAAGAGGCAGGGAGGTAGGTATCTGCCCCCACAGGGTGCATAAGGTTCCATCCTGCAAATTTAATGAGGAAGCCATTTCCCTTTGTAGGACACAAAGTTAACAAAAGCTTTTGTGCACTACAGTGCCTAATTATTATTACTTCATTAACTTTTACCATCATGAGATGTTTTAAGTGAACATAGGCCTATGTTAAAACAAAAACACAAACAGCTCCATTTCAGTTGTACAATGTATTTACTGCTGCACACATAGTGTGCATCGTTTGAATACTTTAACCTGTACAGACAGATTTCCACCTCAGTTTGAAATTACATAAATATTATTATAAGCATATAACCAAAGAAAAAAGCTCATAATGCTATATAGTTGCTTACAGTATACAGTAGGCCTAACTACTAAATCATAATTATGCACAGTGGGGAAATTTTTATTTTAAGCAATAATACAGTTAGACATGCCAATTAACTTCACCTACTTTACTTGTCCCATATCCATGATAAATCGTAGATGCAATTATAACCGTAGACATAATTATAATCAACGTGCTTATTCATGACCGGTCTTTGGAGGGTGTCTTAATAGCAGACTACAGAAGTCAAATCAATATTTTACTGAAATCAAAGCTAACCCCGAATAAGCGGAAAGGTTTAAGCCCGGCGAGTGGCGATGCCTGTGCGATTGTCACAGGATTTCATTCGGTGCTATGTTTTCGCAGACGCCGGACTTGGTGGTCCCAGTCCCCCAGTCAGGCTGAAATTACCCGCAGGTGAACCGCGTCCGCGCATGTCTGCGACGCGCAAATCCGGCTGCAACTAGAACTAGGAGGATGAATCTCCGCTTACCATTGCCTGCACTAATAACGGGATTCAGATGAATAAGATCGCTCATACAGCGAGAGACAGGAAGAGTAAAACATTCCTAAATAATACCTTCGGTCAAAAACGTGTTATTTATGCTAGCAATTTAAGGTAATGATATTATAAGAAGCTCAGGATTCATGTGGAAATCTGCCACGGATAAAATAGGTCAAGGACTATATTCGCAATGTGATGTTATTGAATGCGCTACTGTTTGGAAATGAACTAGAAACGCGGGACTTTTGATGTATCCGCCCCATCTGAATTTATACTAAGCCAAATTTCTCTAGGTTTTTCGCATTTGAATCTTAATTCTTAACCGTCGGACCCTACTGTGTTCCTCCAGTAAAATCGCGAAATAATGATTCCCTGGCACAATCATAGATTCTTTGAATAAGTGCTACAGTTGCCTTGTGTTTTACGCGAAGTCAAGTATGAATCTCTTTTCAACAAAGATAAATACATCAAATATGTCACGATACTTAATCTTTGTTTTGTGCTCCTAAACCCAGTCAGTCAGTTCAAGGAAATGCCAGTGACTTTCTATTGCCTGAATGACCGTATAATATGAGCTCAATTCTGCCTTCAGACTGCAATCACAGCAGGACGCACACCCTGGAGTCCTGTCTGGACTGTGGCGGGTGGCTCGTGTCGACGTGACCGTTGGCGGGCTTCTCCTCGACGGTGGCCCCCGCCCCCCACTTCCCCTCCACCTCCCGGCGGAGAGCCTGGAGCTGCTTGCTGACCCAGGCTGCCTCGGCGCTCTTCTCCCGCAATGCCTTCCTGGCTCCCTCCAGCTCTCGACTCAGCTGGAGCACTTCGTGTTGCCTCTGGCTGCGTTCCTCCTCCAGTGAGACCATCCGCCGCTGCAGGAAGGCCACTGTGCCCTGGGCAGCCTGTAGCTGAGATGGACATGCACACTCGCTCGAATTTTATGCTTCCTTTTATACTCTGCAACGTGCAAAAAAACGTGACTAACATCTGAAAACCCAGACCTATAAGCAAACGAATTCCAGTCTTTCTAGGGAGAGGTAAATTGATCTCATGGATCTTCAGAGCTGAGATAAAAGACGAGTTACTCACCTGAATTTTAAGGTCCACTGAAGAGTGCTTGAGCTCTTCAAACTGCTCCACCTTAGATTTGCATTCTGTCAGTACTTCAATGAGAGAATCATTGGACATCTTCTCAAGTTCTTGGATTTTATAGGCATGGCTCTCATTCCTCTTCCTCTCTGAGTTCAGCTCATACTCCAGCTCTCTTATCCTCTCTGTTGAGTCCGTCAGTTTGGAGCTCAGGTGTTTAATCTCTGCCTGGTGAGATTCTTGCTGCATCTGGACGTCGCGTAGCTCCTTTAGCAATGTGACTGGCAATCGTGTATCCTGCTTAGCACCTTTGATATTTCCATCACAATCTACTGGACAGATTTTCACAAGCTTCTGTCGTTCTTTTTCCTTGTCAATTCCACTCTCACTTGGAGAGCAGGAGTTCTCACCCACCCAAGTTTCCTCCACTTGCATTTTGTCAAATTCTGTTTTGAAAAATCTGTTAGCTGAAGCACTGCGTGGGCACTCCGAATGATCTGCCTTTGAGCCATTTAGTTGCAACAAATCATCATAGGTGCCCTCGGACATTAAGGTCTGCACCAAGCTGGCACCTGACTGAGTTCCCGTGTGACCTGAAATTTCCGCTACCTCAATCCTCTTCCTCCCAGGAGACAGTGGGGGCTGTGTCTCCGTGGTCTGCCCCTTGACTTTCAGCGCCCCATCTGCTGGTCCCCTTTTGAGCTCAGACCCTCCATTTGCGTGCTCATCATTTTCATCCAGTTCGCTGATGGATTCCAGAGGGGAAGTGTGGTGAGCTGTGCTGTTGAGGCTCTCATCCTGCAGTGGTGACTCCAGGCCCCCCCGGAGAGCCGACTCCATGGCTTCAGCTCCTGATCTCGCCGCTCTCAGTAGAGATTCCTCTGCTGAAGATGGGCTCATTGAGCCGATGCTGTACTTACCCTCCATCTCCCCTCCACCTTTCTCTGATATGCCCCGCCCCCCATCTTGCTCTGTGTGCTGTTCAGCATCTTCAAACATCACCAGAGTCTTGGCAGAAATCATCTGTGTGGAATCTACATATCAAAAGTAACTTGTAACTAACAAAGTCCACCTGTAGGATACCTGCATATTTATTGAGAATAATTTTTTTCTGATTTGGAAACACTCAAGTATTCATAGACCATTGCACAAATTGCTCCTTCCCTGGAATGTACATTTAGACCTTCATTTTCCTGCACAATCGTACAGAAGATGCAACTACATGCATCTTTTATTTTGATCAAGCATCAATCCTTCAGCCCTGAAAAAGCCGCTATCTTACCTGAAGGAAGCTCCATACCGGAGTCAGAGAGCATATCCAATACTTGGGCTTCTCTCTGTCCAGCCCCTGGTAACTGCCTGCCTCAGTTTAAGAGCACTCTACCTTTGTTGATGACCAGGTGATCACGGCTTCAGTTACAGCAGACAGGTTCAGTGGTGTTGGGTAATCCTGCCCTCACGTTTCTCCCTCACCAGCCACCTATCTTTCAACTTTGTTTCTTGTTTCCGGCTCCAAGCCTTTCCCTTGAGAAATGGACTTTCGTTGTAAGTTTTGAAGCAAGCGCAGATACACTTAGATAACTGCCATGAAGGATTCCTTTTCACGTCGCTAACTTTACTTTCTATGGATGGAGACGTTTCCTCCCACCTCTTCTGCCCCACATGCACACCAGTTAGTCAAATTGCACATGGGAACATGAATAAAAGGCTGAAAATGTCCAATGTGCTGCGTAACAGTTGGGCATCCCTTTAAATTATTTAAAACTGAAATTAATACCTTGACTGAATTAAACTAGAATATCTTGAAAACTAAGTATCAGCCATTAGACCTAAGTATATCACCTTACGTTTTGCACTCTTGGATTCACGGTGTGATATTGTACAAGGGACATTTTGGGCACTAGGCCCATTCTGGAAAATGGCCATGTGACATCAATCCATCTTCCAATTGCTAATCATGGTCAGAGTCCCCAGGGGGCCTGGGGCCAATCCCAGGTAGCACGAAGTAGTGGAAAACACTGGACTGAGGTACCCTGAGCAAGGTGCCGCCCCCAAGCACTGCTCCCCGAGCGCTGAATTAGCTGCCCCCTGCTATGTCACGATGTCACATATGGGTTAAATGCAGAGGACACATTTTGTTGTTGTGCACTGTGTGCTGCGGTGTGTCAACAATGACCACTGATCACCAAATTCTAAAATAATCCTGGATAGGATACCAGTCCATCTCAGGGCAGACACACACACACAATTATACACCTCACCCAATGTGAGAGACACCAATTAACCTGACTGCACATCTTTGTATCACAGAAGGAAAATCCCCCAGCATGGAGAGATCATGCAAACTCTCCGCACACACACACACACACACCCCACCCTGGGGGTGTTAAACAAGTGTTACCCACTGAGCGATTATGCCAGTTAGTTACATGACATTCATAACACAATTTGTAATGATAGCATTAAAATTTTATTAAAAGTACTTCTTCTGATATATGGATTATACATTTACAAACCTGCAAAATGACTACTACCAATAAAAAGCTGAGGAAAAAACAAACATAGCCACTTCGAGGTAGCTTCCACTGATCTATTTTTTCCAAGAACTTCTGGCTCCTCCAGAATGACTCATAGGATATTAGAGGCATTTAAAGTAAGTCAGTTTAATACACAGGTTATTTATATGACGAGTGTCACCAGAAAGGAATAGCCCTGAAATGACACCCCACAGCTGAGTGCAGGGGGTAGGCCTGGTCAGGCATCCTTTCAAAGTTTCAAATTTCGAAAAAGAAAATTTAAAAAGGGAAAAAAAAAGCCACACAGCCATTTCCCATTAATCATTTATATGAGGCATCTTACCACAAACACCCAAAAGATAGTATCTGCAAGCTGGCTTGGAAATGCCAGGGTATCCCTAAGAGAGGTGGAGCCATCAGTGACCTTGGTAACAGAGGTCAAGCATGACCCGCTAGGCTTGCTGCCACTGAAATCCTCACCCGTTTATGCATGATAGATGGATGGATGGACTGAAATAACCATCTCACAGTTGTTTTTTTTTTACTACAGCTTTAAAAGGGTTGAAGCCGGACCAGACGCAGGAGTTATTCCCACCAGCCTGCAAGAACATGGACATAGGGTGACGGGTACGATACCCACTAATTCACCCAGCAAAGGCCTGCATCGGTCAATCCCGTTGTTGCCTGGTGACAGTGCAAAAAAAATTGATGATACACCTTCAGACATCCAACATTAGAGACAGGACAAAAAGAAAGCAATGAAAGCCACTCAGGAAAGACAACTTCAGTCTCACTCCCCTTCCTCCTCCAGCTTTATTGATAGCTTAAAATTACATTTCTATGTTCTAGGACTTTAGTTGCATTTACCATCCGACTTAAAAACTGAGTACAAGCAAATGATATTTTTTTACAGTAGTCTAAGTGATATATTGTACAAAAATAACATTTTTGATTTCTGTGAAAACATTCTCCTTTCTCAAATAACTTCAAATTCTGCTTTTTCGGCGTCTCTCTACTGTTCTTGGAGCTTATTTTTTGTTTCCTCATTGGGTGAAGCGACTTAAACTACTCTGGGGGAAAAAATTTTACGGCCGAAACCTGCATTTCAGGCGAGCTACGCCTGCGCGGAAGAAAACAAGCTGCTTGAGTCTTTACAAAAGAAATCTCATTCTTTCTTTTTGCGTTTTTTCTTCTTCCCCCTTGATTATGTTTTCGGAAACCTCCTGGAATCGAATTGTTTTTTTTTTATCATCATCATCACGGTGACTTTTCTGTTAACTTCCACACGGATGCATACGGCCTGCAGGCAGAGACGGATGCCTGCATCATACATTTTTATAACTTCTCCTTCCGTCTCACATTCTCTGGCCAACTCCGTTACTTTTGTTTCTGTTTGATGAAAAAAAAAAATTTAACCGCTTACAGAAGCATCAGACTTCCATGATTTTGTTATTCTCTCCACCCCCCCCCCCCCCCCCCCCCCCGGGTTTTTCCCCCCCCCCCCAGGCGGGGGGGGGGGGGGGGGGGGGGGGCCCTACCCGCACGTTTCTTCATCCTGTTCATTCATCCCTGTTCACCAGTGGCAAGGAAAGGGGGTTCTTTAACAAAGCATTATACATAACACCTCTACCAAACTAAACATAAACATTTTTTTGTATTAAATGCAGAAAGTGGATTTTTTTCTCCACCCCTTTCCTCCTTTTACATGTCAAGAGCTCACTGGCCAGGGACTAGCCTCTATCAGCCAACCGTTGGCCAGTGAAGAGGATTCAGAGAAATAATACAACCATCAATCAGAAAAAGGAGGGGCGACGCGGGAAACGCCTTAAGCTGTGGCCTCGATGGTGCATTCCTTTGCCAAGTGACCAGACTTGCCGCAGTTGTAGCAGTTCACTTCGCTCGCCTTGCTGCACTGTACGGCGACATGGCCGATCTCGCCGCACCTGGGGGGGGGGGATGGGGGGGGGGGGGGGATGGAATGAGAAAATCACTCCATTTCTGCGAGGAAGAGAGACCCAGCTACGAGTTTCTTTTCAATGGCAGCCAAGGAACTAGTCTGGAAAGAGAAGAGCAGTGCAAAGGGAGACACGGCCAGCTTATACAGCCAGTTCACAAAACACTCCAACTATGTTCAATATGCTGGGCAATCGTGTTGGGGGCGGGTCATCTAAAGTGGGAATGAATGGATGTGGAGGGAATACTAAACCCTACAACAGCACTGAAAGTCACCCACAGGCAATTTTACACCCTATTTTATGTTTAAGCCCCTTGAAAAAATTCCCCCCACATTTTTTCAGACTGAAAATGGCAACGCTGACAGTGAAATCCCAGAAACACCCCCAGAGCCTCCTTATCTTTGGACACAGTGCAGCTGCTGAAAATGAACCTCTAGGCCAAATTTACCCAAACACTTATTTAACTACAATGAGGTCATGTCCAGATATTAAGAACAGCTTATAAATATTAGGGGAAAAAGTGCTCAAGTCAGTCCCCATCAGGCGTAACTTAAGATACGCCTTGTTCAATAAAACGTTGACAGCCGGGTAAAAATACTTCAGGTTTTGTGGTAGGATCCGCTGACACATAGCGTGTGCCACACGTGCCCAGCGTGCCCGCTCTGGTAACCTTAAAGGGCCGTCCTTAAGGGGCCAGTCCATTACCTATAGCACTTGACTTTTTCGCAGCCTTTCTGGATGTGGCCGAACCCGCCGCAGGAGTAGCACTTCTGCTCGTTGGCGTGATCGCAGTCGCGCGCCATGTGACCCGCCTTGCCGCAGTTGTAGCAGCACTGCTCACGCTCCTTCTTGGGCTCCTTGCAGTCACGGGAGATGTGGCCGCCCCGTCCGCAGTTGTAGCATGCTGGGAGAGGTAAGGAGTGACGGGTCAACACACCATCTTGAGAAGACGGCAGAATACACGTCCCTTTAAGAAACCTGTCAAATTCAAGTAGGTTCTTCAAATCACATGTAACCATTTATACACATTAACAAAAGCAAAAACCTTTATCCAGTACAATTTGTATTCCTCTTCGATACACTCAGTTTATGACACTATGACGGCACTTACGTACCTAAGATAAAACTCCATGCTGGCCCTTTCAGTCGCTCTGCGTAAGAGCGTCTGTCAAATGAATAAATAATAATAATGCTTAAACAGAATAGCTTTTCTCTCTCCACCTCTGTCCTTCGCCAACGCATAGCTTTATACATGTTGCAGGACATTTGTTTGCCAGTCAATACAATCAAGCGCATCTTATTCCTTTCAGATGTGCTGAAATGTCTTTGGAGGTCACAAAATTAAGATCTCTCTACTGAGTATAGAGTTAATTTTTTTGGTTTAATTATTATTATTATTTGTATATTTTTCGGGATATTTTTTATAATCTTGCTGCTGTGTATGTGCAGAGAATATTAAATACCAACAGGACAGAAAAATCCAGTCGCAGATAAAAATCTCACCAATAAACTTAATAGTTATAGAAATACACTTTTGCAAATTCTGAAAGTGGAATGTCACCATTAGATGAAAAATACAAGACCTAAAAACTTTGCCATCAGCATCCCAATAATTATTGGATAAAAACTGCATAGAATTCAGTCTCTGTAAAGTTTCAGTAAAGTGCATGACTGTTTATTCCAAATGCTGCAGAACAGCAATAACAGAAATCTACTATTACAGTTTCCCTCAAAGTGTTAACTGAAACCTATGACGTATGCGGAGAAGAACAGCATAGTAATAAATCACTGTTTTATTCATTACAGTCACAAATGATTACAGGCCTTACACTCATGATACTTTCATGAAGGGAATCCTGGGAACAGTCCCAAAGAAAAGCCATCTCAATCGATCACAGAGACCTCTGGCTGTTACTGCTTATTCTGCGTAAAATGTAACCACATGTGTAACTTCCAGACACAGAGAAAAACTGTAAGCCTCCTCACCATCCTCAGTCCGCTCACAGTCCCTGGCGACATGGCCTGGTTCTCCACAGCGATAGCAGAAGAGGTCTGGGGAGAAAAAAAAGGGGGGGAGGGGGGTACAGGGAGTAAATGTTACTAATGTGAGGCCAATGAAGAGTGATGCATGTTATAGAGTGTACAGAGAATGTTCCGGGTTTCTCCGACCTCTGGGAGCAACACCGGTGGCTGTGACCTCTCACCTTTCCCTCTCCCGCGGCCCTTCCCACGTCCACGTCCTGCGTTGGGGCAGTTCTTGATCCAGTGACCAGAACGGCCACAACCAAAGCACTCGTTGCTACTCATCTTCCACTAATCTGAGCTGGTGCTGGAAAAGGTCAGAGAGACGGCATACGTGTCATCCCAGGATGGCGGTAATATGCCCTGTATAACAGACTCAAAGTCACCAAACACAAGCTTTTTGGATACACAAGGGGTCTGCATTATTATTAAAATACGCAACTGGCACTAAGTAGCATCGGCAGGTTTTCTCAATTTGCTAAATTAATTCAATACTTTTGGGGGAATTAAAGGCATTTAAAGAGGAGCTTTTGCAACACATTGGTTCCAGTCAGGCAATTCTGTGCAGGAAGGCAGACTGGAGTTATCTACATTACGGATAAACTGTAAAACTAAGCTGGAAAAGTTACGGTTAACAACGTTTATTACATTTCACTTTTGCATAACGGTAGTAGTCCTATTACACAATAGTATCTACAAGCAGCTACCACATCAGCAGTATCATGTGATAACGGCTACATACTACACCAAGTTTGTACATTCAGCATATCGGTTACGCATCTTCTGGCTGACGTGGGTACTATTACATACTACTCACTGTTGTTATCGTAAAAATGGCTGGATGCCGCGTCAGATTTCGCGCATGTTTAACAATTCCGGCAAAAAACAAACGTAAACAAACTGACAAGCGAAAGGTGCGATGAAATTAACGGGACAACACGATTTGCCTAAAAATGTTACTTTTAGCTAAAGCTATTAGCAAGAACTGTCATGCGAAACACAGCAAACAATCAATGATTAATACAGGTCCCAAAATTTCCCCTCTGCTTAACTCGTACTACCCAGTCCGAAGGAAAAGACCTAAAGGCTAACTAAAGATGTGTGTCTAACAGATTACTCTATATCCAGCACTAGGCCAACATCAGACACGAAGCGACCTCGTCGTCAAGCAGAAACAAAACAAACGACGCACCCCGTTCACCCGGACTGGCTCACCGGGCCCCGCTGCGATCCGGTGACCGTATCCGTAAATGTCACCGTTAAGACGGCGCGCTCTTTGTCCTCGACGCCCCCCACCCTCCCGTGCCGAGCCGCACCGCAGCCGGCCGTGACACCTCATTCCATCCGGAGATCCACGGTCGGATTCTGTTCGGTGTTATATTTAGGGTTCAACCGCACGCGGCATCAGCCAGCCTCCCTTCCTCCCCAATCGGCTCCCACCGCCGACTGACCGGATCTAGCTGCCGCGCGCTGCGCTCCTGCAGTTCTATTGGAACGTTCGCTGCGCCGCGCCGCCCACCCACGCCTGCGGCCTCGGCACTTGCAGCTCTCAACCCCTTTCGGAGGCCCCGGCGACTCCCGAGCCCGCGACGGCGCGCGTACCCCTTATTCCCCCTGGCAGCGAGACTCGTTTTTTTAAGAAAACGCGACTTGACGAAAACACCGGCGGCGTTCCGGAGCGTTTCTCTTCGAGACCCTCTTTTTAATTGCGTGTGCAATTAATTAAACCGAGAGACTTTCCCGCGCGGATACTGACGCAGTAGGCCAAAGTGCGCCGTCAGAAAAAATGACTTGTTTACCTTTCCAGCGAAATTCACCAGAGTCCGTCGCGTTGGATGCTATTTTATTTAGCAGATCAGTAAGTCGGAAGGTCCCCAGTACACGTGCAAATGACCGCGGGCCTCGCTAACCGTGCGATACGCTCCTATTTTCGTCCTTTATGGCACTCACCTTAGCTACGTGACTCGCTGCTGTTTGTTTTCGGTTCCTCCTCTCTTCGCTGCGCCACACGCGGTTTGCACACGAACCTTTGGTATCCCCCTTCCCCTCCCCTCCCCTCCTCCGCCGCCGAAGCCACCTCTGCACACGGCGCGCTGTTTTCCGGGAGCCTATAGTGTGAAGGAAAACGCGGACACCACCTTCGAAAAGCATCGAATCACTGACTGTATGCAAAGATACCCTATGAGACCACGGCGTTGTTGTTGTATGCTGCTAAATTATATATTTTATATATTTACAAACCCATGACAAAACGTAAAGTAAGCACGAAATACCGGAACGAAAGTTATTAGATGAAATGAAAAAACTGAGTAGTAGGCTATTGATCATTTTCTTACATATGAAAAGATTGCTACGTGTATTCTCATTACTATTATTGTTATCCGCAGTTGGAAAGATGTGCATTGTTATTTAGAAAAAAAAATGCTTTTATAGAACGCTTTCTCCATCCAAATTAACTTTGGTAATGTATAAATATAGAAAATATTACCAAACAAATAAACGTCAATAATATTACACAGTTGTATCAAATATAATAGATGCATACTATTACAAAGCATGCTATTTTGGAAAGGAAATGCTGGATCACAAGCTATTTGAAGTCAGTCGTAATATGTATTACATATATCTGGCAGAACAACCTAAATAAAAGCACGACACGATATATGTAAATAAACACAGCACTCTAATATCGGTACGTATTAGTTATGGGCAATATGTCAGCGTAGTGTATATGTTACTAATTTCTGTCAGCTCTTAAATATTCAGGCGGAAAATGGCCAGTTTTGCAAGATCATGCACGTGAATCACAGAAGCATTTTTAATGCATGTACTTAACGCCCTCAGTAAATACCTAACTGAATATGTTATATATTTAAAAAGTTCTACATACATATATAGATAAATAATGTAGAATTGCTGTATTCTACATTCTCGACTATGGTGCCTCCTCACCTTTGCTTACTGGGATAGACTTCAGGCCCTTGGCAATCCTGCACAGATATTCTTCAGTTTTCCTGCGTTATAAAGGTACTGTAATTGTATGTGTATGTTATTTTCTAAGATAAAATGAATCAATACAAGGGGAAAGTATTACTTGAAGAGTGTGCTTTATCAAATGTTTTAATCAAACTGTGACACTCCCTCCTTAAAATGCCTGTCTGCATTTATGGAGTGAAACATCTTAATAAACCTTTTAGTCAGAATACAGGATCAATTTCCTGGCTGATTGTGTTCCTCCGTCAGCTTTTACGGTGGTTTGCATCCTCAGGAATCTTTCTCATTATGTTACTATATTAGACTTTCAGCATTTTTAAATCATCATTTATTATTTTTTTTAGTTTGAGGATTACTTATGAAGGAGGGCTGCCAACTGATGTATTTTATGTAGGTTTATATGGGTCAGTTTCTACACAGCCTTTGACGGCCTTTGTGCAATTTTCGGGTGTTTCTTTTATAGTCTTGATCTCATTGTGTCTTTCTTTTGATTATGGAAAAATGATATATCTCACCGCTGTCTGTGCCGCATAAACGAGAGGCTGATCTGTTTTCGACTGATGTGAGCACCAGATGATGCAAGCTTGGGGGAATACCTTAAATGTCCACTAGGAACCGCCCCTGAGCCGTCCCCGCCTCACTCCCACCTTTGTCAGTATGAGTTGTTTGCATTAAGTCGTTTCTGCGGATTTGCCAAGCAGAGGTTTGTTATTTTTACCGACTGTTTACAGCAGATTATCTTGAGAATAGGCACATCTGCTTCATTGCCATTAGGCCTTCTGGGATGGCGATGTCCAATCCTAGAAGACAAACTGAATTTCTTGCTGGGAGACACTTGTCCCTAAGAGCACCTGGAGGATAAGAAGCAGAGTGCTGCAGCTCCACGATCTGCTCAGCAAGACTCACGCTCACCCGGCAACTCTTCCGATGGTGATGAGACTAGCAGTCACCTGGGGTGAGTGAAGACTAAGGTAAATATCACAGCACTGAGCATAAACATATTCTGTGTGAGTTATGTTTCTAATCTGATGGGAAAAAATGTTCATTGAGTCATACAATGAAATAAATATACGAGGAAGAACTTGTGGTGTGTATAAACGATAAACGTCCATATATATATACTGAATATATATACTTTGTGTAAATATAGTGCTGATGTATACTGTATTACTGTATATATGTGTGTGTGTGTGTATATATATATATATATATATATATATATATATAGTGTGGTTATAAGTTGTATATACTGTATATGTGTCTGTGTTTTTATATATATATATATGTGTGTGTGTGTGTGTGTGCGCACGCACACACTGATAAGTAGAAAACTTAGACTGAATTATGAATTATTTTCTGCGACACCGATTTTGAGAAACTAGTCTTTGCCCATTGGGCTGTTATGTATTTGATCATTGTTGTTTTAATTATTGGTTTAGTTATCTGACACTAAAATGTTAATCAGGAGAACATTACAAATGAAAAAAAAAACATTTATTAGTTTTATAGAAGACACTAGATTATTCATGAAATTCAGTCACTTGTGTACTACCTATATGTAAATAAATAAGTTACTGAATCTTGACATGTATAAAAATTGTCTTCATGGAATGGCATGATGGTGCAGTAGGTAGCATGGCTGATTCATAGCCCCAGAGCTGGGGGTTTGTGTTCCACTTGCAGTCTCTGTGCATGGAGTCTCATGCATGTTCCTCTCTGTGCCTCGTGGGTTTCAGAGATATGCAGTTAGCTACCTGATGTCTCTGAATTGCCTGCTGTGTGTGGATTACGTTCATATTATCTGATCTGTGAATGCTATCAAAAAAGTTAAAATGCCAAAAGTCTCGTATTTTGTTTGGTTACTTATGGTTAAGGTTAGGGATGGGTTAGGGTTAAGGGTGTCATTGATGGGATTAGGGTTATGCCCATAGAAATGAATGGAGAGTCCCCACAGAGATATACAGTAATTACAAACCTCCCTCTTTCTGTCTGTCTGTCTGTCGGTTGGTCGGTCGGTCAGTCAGTCGACATGTGCCTTGCCATGCTGCTCCCCAGCCCTGTATTTCCTGAAAAAGGCTTCAGTCCCCCTACAACCCTGACCAAGAAAAGCAGTTGGAAGATTATGGAAAAATTGTCTCACGTAACTTTATAATACTTTATCTCAAGGTATCGCCAAGTGGTCTGCAGTTTCCTATTTAAACCAGAGGATGGTGCTTTTTGCCTTAGATACTTTTTGTGGCTGAAATATTTTCATGTTGCGTATTGAAAGCTGAGGTGAAGTCGATAGAGACTAAATCAGTCTATTTCTAATAATATGCTAATCTTTCCACATTATTGGTTCCAGGCCCCCCTGTGCCCCTGACTAGGATAATTTAATTTAACTTTGACTAAAGTTGGAATTTAGGATTTGAAGTTCTGTCGTGTCCTTTTATTAAAATGGCCCACGAATGCACCCAAGTCGTGAAATTCTCTCAGAGATCAATGACGTTAATCTATTCTACTTATTATTTTGGCCAAAACAAAATTATTTATTGCACAAATTTATTTCATTCGTACTTCTTGAGGATCCGATATACAACTTCATTCAGTTCAGTTACAACTAGGGAGAATTTTTTAAACATTTGGTATGTTTTAGTGGAAATATTAATGCTGTACCATTGCATCTACTATGGTCTGCATGATAATTTCAGTGGTTTCTTTCAACTACTCACAAGACATAACCTACAATTAGGATTAAATGTTTTAAATCTCTTTATTTAAAATACCACATCACCGAGACCTGATTTTGTGGGTGTTAATACAGAATTATTTTCTTTCCCATAACCTTATTTTCCAAATATCATGCAAAAACAGCGTCTAGCTAGTTAGGATTCCGTAAGCCTAGACTGTAACACAAGTGTTCTACACCAAAAATAAACGGCAAGTTTTACAATAGTTAAAAAAAAAAAAGTAAACCAAAAGTAAACTAACGTAGGGCCAAACTGAGACCTCGCATTACGTGAAGTGCATGACCGGGATTCCTGAGAGGATCTAATTTCAGTGACTGGCGTCAAGAAGGCGCACTACACTAACTAAAAGAACCCCAAGCCTTCTCAAAGTCGTAATGCCGTGGATAAATAGTGCTCTATTTTAAAGCCATCTACTAAAATAAAAATTTGCGGCGAACGCCCTCTGCATCTTAACGTTGCCAGCCTAGAATAAAGCGCTCCCACACCACATTTCATGTATGTTAAGATGTAACACTCAGGTGTAGCTTATATAGCTGATAGAGGGGAGGGAAAATCGCGCAGTTTGCGAAAGGGCTGGGATCTGCCAAATAAACATCGGCGTTGTTGGAAGGGGGCGGCAGACGTCGGCGGTATCGTGATTTATTCGCCGATCTCTCCCGAGGAAAAAAGTGTTTAAACCGAAAGAGCTCGGCCGTCTTTCTCTTGCCCTGTCTGCAAAATGTGATGTCACCCAGTCGCCACTTTTCAGTTATGGCGGAGCCGGAGACATCCAGCTAACTTTCTTTCGGTAAGTTCACGGCTGATCTTTGGTAGCAAACCGGCGGGTTTTCGCGTTAGGATAACGCCGATCGGGGTGGTTCGTTCGAGCCGGGAGTTTTGCGGCTGCAGTGAGTTGCACCGCAAGTTGGGTTTTCGTCTTGAAACTTTTTTGGGGGGTTGTATGCGGAACGCAACAAAAGCTGCTGGTCCGGGATCCCAAAAAATGGCCCGGAGAGAAATCTCTGAAAAGATCTGTTTTCGGCGTCTTTTCGTCACTCACTTAGGCTTCATATGGTTCGTAAAAGCTAAACATTTTTTAAAAGTAAATGCATTTTTTAATGTTTCACTTTAAGTGTATGTCCAGTCTCTGGCACTAGTTTTGGACAAGTAAGCTTACTTAAGTGTCCATTTTATATAGCATAGCTAAATACATTTAGGCTTTAAGGCACGAAGAAAATGATATATGTAGCAAATAAATGATCTTGTAGTTATACACAATAACCTTTAACAAGAAGATCGTAGTGAATGGGTTTTTTTTGGGGGGGGTGACTTCAGTTCGTCGCAGTGTTGATCAACAAAGCATAATGGTTGATGTTAAACGTCGTCTTTTTTTAGAGAAACTCTGCAGCGGTTTCCTGCTGCTGTTGTGGGTGGTGGTATTACTGAATTTATTAACCCCCCGGCCGTATATACATCGTTTATATTACAGGGTGTCAGACGGCCACCATCTTTAACCTAGTTTAAATGAACCCATCGAAGATTAAAGAAAACGATTTTAAGTATATGACAGCTTTAATGTGAGTTGTTTTAAAGCTCATTTATCTGTTTAATCGCAGTGCTGCACGGTAGGGATATGTATGCCGTATATAATAATTAGGCATTGCACTTCATTTTAAAGGATCGCTGTGTTACAGATAGCAGCGTATCTTCTCATAATCAGATTTTTTTTTTCCGATGAAAAGTAACCCAGATATTTTGCAACAGCGGCGCCTTAACAGAGCCAGCTACTGAGGTAACCCTGGAGGAGAAACAAGGTTACTTGAAGTGCGTAGTGAGCTTGCCTGTCTTGTGCATTTCACCCGTTCTTTTTTTAGTTGCATGCTATTTGAATTTTGGGCCGCAGCATGTAAGATTAAGCAGAAAAAGTGAAGTTGCAAGATCCTAATGCGTGTGGCTTATCGACAGTCATGCTTTTTTGTGCGGCTTGCTGACGGAGCACAGCGGCTTTCTGTGTCCTCCAGTGTGGTGAATAGCCTGTGCTGCTTTTTCTGTGCTGTCGGTCTTCACAGAAGTTTTTTTTATACTTGCTTTTAAGACCAATAACTTAAGTGATTTGTTTTTAAGATATATTTTACTCCATTGACACAAGGAGATCATCGGGTGCTGAAGTCCCTTTAATTCTTATTTGCCACTGATTGGTTGCAGAAGTAGCGCTTTTAGGCTGTGACAAGTTTTACCGACAGATAAGGGTAGATAATATCCTACTGTTTGTTCAAGGGCAAATTCCGCTTTTCGTTTTTTTCTCTCTTGTTCTGTTGTAGATTATCATCTCTGTTTTTGCATGTGTTGAAGCCCTGTATGAACTGTTTGCATGTTATTGTAATTTCCAAAATTTAAGTGTGTTATATTAATCACACATCTAACAGATCGCATTGTGGTCCATAGAAATTTTGTGTGATTTTAAATTGGACTTATTTTACTTGAGTTGTTGTCATATTTGCATAAATAAATACCCCTGGCGTTTGTAACTCCTGCTGCGTAATCATAATCTTGTAAATTTTGGGTTTCAGGAATGTAGGTAGTCAGTGTTCCCTAATGTGTTCATGTTGTTCTGGATGTATATTAACGAGATTGTATTGTAGGCTTGGAGCCATTTTATTGCAGTACTACATCAAGCCTGTAGTTGCAAATGCACGCTGACCTCCATCAGAGAATCACTCGTGCTTTTTTTTTTTTTTGCTTTGAAGCTACTTTTGGCGGTCTGCCTAATTAATTTATGGTACGGCCATTGCATTCCCGCTAAGCACTGGACTGGTTTACTCTGTTTTTAATAGGCTTTTTAATATCTCTTCTTGTTTTTAATATCTCTTCTTGATATGAGAAAACGCAAATCAGTGTGTTTGATCAATGGCAGTATAGAAGGATACACACAGTTAGCATCTTTAGTCCAAGCGACAGTATGACTGACATTTGACACATTTTATACTGGGGTAGGTTGCTTGGAATTGTATGGGCAAGAAGTTTACCTGAAGTCTACCTGAATGACAGACCGCAGCCTATTTCCAACAAGTATGGCAAGTAATTTTGATTCTAGCAATTTTTGTCCTTTGCAGATATTTATTTGTAGCGATTCATGACACGGTTCGTCTGCCCTAAAGTCCCTTAGCCTGTTGGGTTCTAGGCTGTAAACATAATGGCTGACAGCTGCCCTTTCAGAGAAGCGGCTCCCATAAATATTTACTCTGCTAGTTTAGCTGAGGAAAAAGCAACATTGTTCCTATGCTGGTGTTTTTAACATTTGCGGCCCTTACTTTCGCTTTTGGTAGGCATTAACATCCTGAGGTTAGGTGGTCCAGAGAGAGAGTATAAACACAGCTAGAGGGCCCAGCAGCGTGAACATACCGAAGGTGACACTTTGCCGTTAAGTACTGTGAAAAATGTCGGTGTGTGTGTGAGAATAAGGGATTAAGTCTGTTCCAGGTGAGTCTGAGTTCTGGGCATAATTTTGTGGTTTTGCAAGTAATGTTGTTTGCTGTCTTTGGTTGTTCTTCATTCTACTTGGAACTGGCTAATCTAGACTCTAACCGTTCCTCTATTTGGACACTCTCTGTGTTTTGGACTTGATCTCTCCGGTTTTTTGAAGTGAACGAACGCCAAGCCAGGCTTGTTGTGGCCAGCAGGGGCATTTTGGTAGATGCAGTCGTGCCGAGCAGGGAATTGACCGAGTGAGGTCTCTCACAGAGCGTCCTGTAGCGGAGGGTGAAAGCTTCATACTTCATAACCGTTTCTTTGTTTTCGTTTTGGGTTGCTGGCCAGTTAGTAGCTTTACAATAAAAGGGCATGTTTGACTGAAATCTGAACAACCTCTCTGGCTAGAGGAACAGGCAGAAATTGTACAAAGGAGCACTTCAGTAACTTTTCAGGGATGCGTGGGCTATTGATGTGTTTGCAGTTTTCAGTTAATTTTTTTTTTCTTTTCACGATTTAAGGAATTAAGCGGAGAGAAGGTCATAAGAGTTGACAATGTGAAAGATGAGGCGCTCTGCCATGGCCGCGTCAGTGACAAATGAGCCAACTAAGCTGCATTGCGCTGAGGCCGTTGAGAGGTTACTGAGGTTCTGGCAAAGGCTCAGCTGTACGGAGAGTTGACCCGGAGGTCTGATACTTTTACCGCCGTTTCAACACAGTGAGGCGTCTGTCACCACGCTTTGTCACCTGCATGTTGCCCTAGCGACCCAACACTTCTGATGTAACGAAGACTCTGTCCTCCATGGATTAGTGGACTCTGCGTAGTGCTGCGATCAAGGGTGTGGGCTTGAGTCGCAAAGGTGGCCAGTTAGAAGCCTGTTAGGAACTCTGCTGACATACTTTAGGTTACGTAACCTGAGTTGCCCAGCTAAAACTCTTGTTATATTAACATGTGAAAAATAATTTATAATATTTTAAGATGCTTTAGACCGAAGCGTAAACTCCAGTCGGATAGTCGCTTCTCTCTCATGGCTTGCTTCAGAAACTGATGTCATAACTGGGTAAGAAGGTTTGCAGACAACCTAAGGAACTTGGGTTTGAAATCAAGTTAGATATACTTAACAATCTAGGGTCAACAGGAACAAGGGTTGGATCATGTCAGTCCGCTACATACTGACTTACAAAGTCAAAAGTAACTTTGTCATCTTCAGCGATATGATCGATGGGTCAGACACTGAGATATTATTTCAATCTCATTGGTCTTATTGCAAGAAATGGTAATAAATGGATTATAAATATGTAAGATATTCAAACATGACGCAAGTGCCCAAGGCCTCTGGCAGTGAAAGTTTGAGGGGAGTATTGGCAGGGCTGAAACTCGCTCTGTAGGAAGACTGTACGTTTTGCTCTCCTGATCATTTGTAGGTGCTGTTAGACAGAAACTCCGTTTTGGCAGCCTGGAGCTAGCTACAGAAGCACTCTCTGGGCTCGTTAAGCCTGAGAGCCTGCTTCATGAGTGTGCATGCGCTCGATGAATATGTTAATGTCTCGGAATGCTGCCGTGAGGCCTGTTTTGAATTCCCTCCCCCTCATGACCCTCAACATCTCTGGATCAGTTGGGATTGGAAGGTCTACAGCTGCATTTTTTTTTCTCCATTTCACTGTTAAGTTCAGAATGTTTCTTACCAGCTGACCCATAAGGAGAGTAAATGTCAGATGAGGCAGTGTAGAGGCCAGCACAGAAGTAGAGCCGTTGGTGTGATGTGGGGTGGGTGGGGGGCGTGAAGCGGTGGAAATGTTGAAAATGGCTTGGGCTGCTTCTTGCCAGAGGGAGGGTCACCTCCCTATGAACCCTTTTTGGGGCCCCTGGTCTGCCATGATGGAATATTTCACGGGGAGGGTGATGTGATGGGGGGAGGGGGTTCGTGGAGGGTTCACCTCTAGCAGGAGGAGGAGGAGGAGATCTGAGCTTTTGCCGGAGACCACACTCCTGATTCTGGACCTCGGCCACCCTGCTTCTCCCCCGGCTGTGTCTCTGCCAAACTGTCTGGGGGTGCTGTTTAAGGAGCAGCCCCAGGTGGGCACGCCTTGTCTTCTCTGGAATGAAGGATTGCCTCAGTGTGCCATTTTCAATCTCCCAGAATACTTGCTGTTGCCAGAATTTTACAGGAGGGGGAAAATCTGCCCAAATATGCAGGGCCTTCTGGCGCAGTGCTGCGATTGGCCAGGTCGGACACATCTGAGTGGGCCTCCGTGGACGTGGCCAGCGGTGATGAAAGGGTGACGGGTAGAACCCCCCCCCCCACCAGGGTGTGGTGATTGAGGACAGATGACTGGAGTTGGTGTGGGAGATCAGGCTGAAAGAAATGGCTGCTGGGAAGGCAGGAGTGTGGCGACCAGCTGTAACAACACTGGCCGGCGTGCGTTACCGATCTCCAGTGGGCCGGCGTGCCTTCTGCCGTGTTCCGTCGGGTTCTGCGGCTGAGTGGTTTGTGTAGCTTTCTCTCACTTAAAAACATCAGCCTGAATCATTCAACGTAGCCTGTGTTCACTCCTGATTTACAAGAAGTACTCCAATCTGATAACCGGGCCGTATGTGTCCGAGATCTTACTGAAACCGTGTGATGTCAGGGTCTCCCGTGTCCTGCAGTCTGATCTCTGATGTGTTGATACAATCTTAATGGGTGAGAGAACTAAACAAAGGCGCACAGCATAAATGTCAAACAGCTGTTTGTCATTCCATTTTACGATAATATACTGTTTTCATGTATTCAGTGTGTTAAATTGGTTTTTAATTAAAATCCAACTTGATGCATTTTGTTGCATCTTGATTAACTGTTGCTGGTACAGCTGACAGGAGGCCAGATCCTGTACACTACTAACTGAAATGGATGGTCTCCCATATCTTGGGGTTGAGTTACTTTAACTTCCTTTCAGGGAAATTGCATTTTTGTTTATTTGGTAGATGCTTTTATCCACAGCAGCATAATGTTTTGAGAAAGTAGGCTGAGCCAGATCCTGGAGGTAATTGGGGGTTAAAGGTGTGTGTCTCAAAGCCCAATGGTGACATCACTCTGCTGACCCTGGGATTTGAACTGCCGACCTTCCGATCACAGGCACAATACCCTGCCCTGCTGAGTCTTACACCATGTATGGTTGGGTGCGTGAGGTTCTGTAGTCATGTCATGTGATGTAGTTTGGAAGGATCTGTTCCAATAAACCTGCGTCATATGCCCCCCCCCCCCCGTCCCCCCCCCCCCACAAACTAGTGAACAAAGACCCCCCGAGAAAGTAAGAAGACAAACTTAGCAG